ACAAAGGGATGACAAAATCATTCTGTTGTGGAAATCCTATATATTTCACCGAAACACATTTATTATTCATCTAATTTTTATTAAAAAGCACCATACAGATCTACATTATTGTCAGACAAAGTACCCAAAGAACCATAGACAGTCTTGGAGCTTTAGACTGCAGACCTCTGTCCTACCATGACAAAATATACAACATAAAAATAAACTATATATATATATATATATATAATGTTTGCTTTTCAGGCTTTCTTTAATGATAAAAACTCCATAAACATACTGAAATAGCAACTGATTCAACACAAAACTTATCATTGAAAATGTATCCAAGCCTGAGCAAAAAAAGTAAGATAAAATCCCAATTATACAACAAACAATTTGCTTCTCATTGCCCATCTCCTGAGCAAAAGGGGACCAGCTGAAGATGATGGACGCGAGCAATTTCTTTAACATGGCAAACATGCAAATCACTTTGCGGCGTCTGTCCCTCGCCACTTTCCCCCCACGGTACTCTAGATTGCAGCCCTCCCGTTCTAATTGTTCCCAAACATCTCACATGAGCGTAGCGAGTTAATTGTGGACAGGAGACGCTGATCTCCCATGATGCAGTGCCCAGAATAAATGAGTATTCCCAGTTTGACTATCCTCGCCAAATCAGCCAGTGTTAAAATGTAGGAAAAGTGCTTTGGTGCATTTGGTCTAAAATCAGTTTATCTGGAGAGCTTTTAGATCCACTTGAAAAGGAATACCTGCTGTAGTTTATCACTTCATTTTTTGTGTGTGTTTTTTTTTAAGTGTGTTTTGTGCTTTTGCAATGGAAACTTTTAAGCCTTCAAGGTTACAATTTGTTGAAGAGAAATTTAACTGGAGTGAAAAGGGAGAATTTATTCCTACTCTCGTTGCATTCTTTTAAAAAAAATGTCCTACATGAAAAGAAAAATTCACGTCATCATGTGAAAATGTGTCAGGTGAGGGCAGTTTCACATTAGCGTATGTTGGTTGTTATCTGCACCATATTTAGCTTTTGTAAATGCTAGTCAAGTAGCCCTTTTGACATGTAAATGATAAGCTTTAAAACACATCTTTCTGTTTCCCACTTGTGTCAGACTTGTTGAAATAAGATTAGTGGCTTTTAAAGCTACATTGCTAATGTGAAGAAATCGTCTCTTGAGATAGTTCCCCTTAGAGTCACAACACTTTTGAATTTGTTTTACATACCAATTATATAAATTTCCTCAAAAAGCCCTTTAAGACAACTAGAACTGTCTCATTTTGTAAAGCTAATAGAGCTAATCCTTTTCTGTCTTTCTTTCTTTTCTCCTTTCGCTAGTTTGCTAACTTGTTTGCTAGCTAGTTAGCTGGTGGGATTAATCCTTCAGTAAACAATTTCCTTGTCTTGCAAGTTCAGTGAAATGCTACGAGGCAAGGTGATAGTATAGATTCATCCACAGTAAAGTTTGAAGTACCCGTAAATGTCAAAAAGTAGCAGTGTGGGCAATCAGAACTAAACAATACACGGTTCAAAAGGAATGCCTGTAGGGAGCTTAAACTGCATTTGTCACCCTTATTTACAGAACATGATCAAAGAAAATGTTCTCAATTCTAAATGGATAAAGCACAGAAAGATGAATCTTCAGAAGACACTGAGATTTTGACAACAAAGCAGCCGGCAAACATGAAGGAGGAAAAAGTAGCTCGCTGACATATTCAGTGTCAGGTCTCAGATTATTTAGTCAAGAAGAAACAAAGAGGACATAGTAAAAACCATTTAAAATTGCTCCTGTAGCTGTGCAGCTGATAAACAAACTGAATGCAGGCACATCTAAATCGACTGAAAGGGAGATTTCTTTTGTTTACTTGTAGGCAAGATTAAGGAGAAAATCTGCATTTTTTCCCCCTCAAAATGCATGTCTTCAGAAAGAACCTGCTGAGAATCGAATGCCTTCTTCAAGTGAGTCACATAATTGGTTTAATTTACTTTCAGTCTAATGTACCTCATGCTATAATGATTCAGTTACTTGATATCTGGGTGTAGATCCAGGGTTGCATTCAACCCCGGATTTAAAAAATTATCCAAATCAAGCCATCACTTGTTTGAAAGTGCTTTTATCCATACTTCTTTCTCAAAGCTTTTACTTGCAATCAATATAATGGCAGTCGGTGGTCCTATCTGACTCTGAGATAAATTTAATAAAAAATAAAAAGTTTAAAAGTTGAATGAAATCAAAAATTCAATGATTTTCCAAAAATGAAGTGCGTTTTGCAAAACATTGCCCTTGCCATCTGAGGATGAACGTTTAAAGCTTAGCACACCGTCTAAATAACCTGACCAGTTAAAAACCACAAAAACAAAAAACAAACAAAACAAAAAAAAAACAAACAAACGCCAATTCTCTGCACAAAGTCAATAAAAAGTTGTTGAAAATGTCAAACTGGTGCTTTTTTTCCCCTGATAATAACCCAGGTGTCCCACAAAACAACCAAACACGACAGCGGTAGCAAGAGAGAATAAAAAGAAAATGAAAGGTGTTTGTCATGTCGGTGCATGTCCCTCCCCATGGAGCCATCATTAATTAAGCGTGAGATTGGTCTCTCCACTTCACACCCCTGCCTCTCGTCCTGTTGAAGCAGAGATGTCAGGGGACGAGCCGCTTCTCGTCTCGGAACGGCAAAACAGGTAGACTCGGTTCAGTGGACCTAAAATAGACATCTGTGAACACACCCCGGTCGCATATGCACACACACACACACACACATTTTAGTCCACTCAGGCACCCCGGGTTTGGAAACAGCTGCTCATGTGCTCGAGTCCAGTACCGCGACAGGGGCCTACAGCTCTTTCCAGCACTGCAGTACATCACTAATGATAGCTCAACTCCCTAAACTCCCCTACACTACCCAGAGGGGTGGGGGAAATCTGCCAAACGGGTACAGGTCCCCTCCTTACCGCTCGCACCACGGTGTCTGACAGCCGGCTGGGGAACTGTAAAATTAAAGGCCTCGGCAAATGAAATACTGCGACGCGGCAACGTGAATCAAAGCCGGGCCTGTCACGGTGGCTGGTGGAAGAAGAATGACCAAGGCGTTTTCTCAGAAGGAATACAAAAATAAAATGGAAAGTTGGAGAGGCCAGGCAACTACATTGTTATTGTTGAGTTACCAAGGAGCATTGTCTGGCATCTAATGGAGGCATTACGGATATCGACGGGAGAGATATTTGCTCGTTTCACCTTGAAAAGTCGAGCGCGTTGTCAAAAAGGTCTTTCCGAGGAAGAACTTTATTGACTTCACTTGATATTAATATTTGCCTGAGACGACACAAGCCATCTTCTTTATGATGTGACCTTGCTGTTACTGCCAGAGACGGTAATGTATCTCGGCTAAGTCATCATCGCTGACTCATGGAGGGGAAGGAAACGGATTGCTTTGTTTTTGTCGTGTATCTTTCTATCTTCACTTCGACTTCGGCCTGGCATTTTGCACGGCCACTCCCGTGCAGAGTAAGAAGTGTCAGCACTGACATGGAGGGTCATCATGACTGCGCAGCAGACAATCTGATGCCGAGGTGCAGAAGGAGATAACAGTGGTCTGTCATCCACAACAGCCAAACCTCCCATCCACAACAGCCACGTCTCACTCATGAGGGAGAGTTATTGCTTTAATATAGACAATGAAGGGTTCAATTTGTGCTCCGGGTGTCAAAGGACTGCTGGGCGTGATTGCTTTCTTGGCACGGCTGTGACATTCATTGGCTCGGACTCGGAGCGTATTGGAGGAAGCCCTCTCTCTCGGTCCTGAAACACGTTGCATGACAGATAAGAGGTGGAGGAGAAGGGAGATTGGTGGATGGGGAAGCAGAAAAGGCACGGCTCGTCGAACAGCAGCACTTCGATCCCTGGCAGAATGAGAAATACAGTGTCCTGACCTTGGCTGATCAAGCAGAGGGAAAAAAAAAAAAAGGGAGGGCAGACGTAATCCAAACCGCTGTCCGTTCCAAAACCACATTAAATAGTAAAGAGCAGGGAATGGTTCTCATGTTTACACTTTGGGGCATTTTTAAACCTTTAAGCGAAAACTGAACCTCCATCTGTTCGAATTGTTGCTTTTTTCCACAAAACACTAAAGTTGTTTTTTATTTTGTATGAATCCTATTTGAAAGGAAACCAGTGCCTACTGCACAGGATATTTATGTTGTTGGCTTTGAAGCATTGCTAAACAGAAAAGGTTAAGATAATACCATTTATATATGAGCGGTTTTTATTAGTACCGTCAATCCATTAAAAAATTTAATCACATGAATCACACTCGAGCACCTTGATTAATCATGATTAATCACTATACTTAACTTTGTAAGCTTGAAATGTTAAAGAAAATATTTAAGAAATGTCTTAATTTCTCAAACTCAACATCTCAGTTTTCAAGATTTTCATAGTTGGGAAGCTTTGAAAGAAGTTATTTTGCTTCAAATGTAATTTAGAAATGTTAACTATAGGCTAGCTGTGGTTTGGTGGAAGGATAATTCATCGTTGCTACTAAATTGGTTTCATCCAAAAGTTCAACAATATGTTTTTTTTTTTTTTTCAGAATTTCTTTGGTACTAGTGGACTTTATTTGACTAATTTGAATAATTTAAGAGAAAGGGATGAAAGATAAGTGGCTAAGGAGCTGAGGATGGGATTTGAAATCTGGACACATCAACGTCTACAGTGTCTGCTCTAACCACCGTGTTTTTTTTTAAAAGCTAAATTTACCGCTGAGCATACATCTTTTCACTTGTGTTTGTGGCTCTGCGTTGTTAACCACAGTACAAGACCGTGTAATGTGCCGATTTGATTTCAAGTAACCCTCTGTGGGAGAAAGGCTGTTAGGTCAAAATAGGTGATGCAATTAATCTCCATTACTAATATTAATGCATTAACGTTGACAAGTTTAGTTTTAAAGCAACGTACATTTGCATATTTCTACACATGAATTTCTTCTGTGGATGTCCAGCCTGAATTTTGAACATATCTTCTTTCCACTCTAATAACCAACTTTGTCAGGGAAGAGCGTATCGGCTGCTGCAGCTTCCACACATGCTAGCGTTAGCCTCACGCCCTCAGCCAAAAATCACTTGGGAACCGACGCAACACCTCACGACGTACACCTTTCATTAGTCCCAAAGAGCTGTACCTGAATAGACGGTGGCGAGCGCTGTTTGCGGGTGGTTGTGGTGGACAGGGTGGTGGTGGTCTCAATGAAGGTGGTGGACATCTCTGGAGGCATTGAAGTGGTGGTGCGCGTCGCGCCACGGCTGGTGGGCACGTCTCCCACGAGCCGCACGCTCCCGTTCACCTTGATGTTAGGGTGGCCCTCGGCGGCCATGTTGAGAACCTTGAGGCCGTTGTAATAGAGGCCGGAGAGCTGGCCTTGGTAGGGCCGCTTTCGGTCGTTTCCTCCGATAGAAATAGTGGCCTGGGTGTTGAAGATTGTCAGCTGCCGGCCTGGGACAGGAAGAAGAGCAAAAGGGTGAAGAGGCAAACAAGAAAGGTACCTAATGCAAGACATACGGGCGCCTGTCACTTTGCCCCTTCGCCAGTTTGTACATTTTGAGATTTGGTCGTCTCAAATCTCAAAATTTTCACCAAACATTTTCAGGTACAAAACTGAACTACAAGATGTTTCGTAACAACAACATGGTACTTCAACATCAAGAAGATTTAGTGAAGTAAGTCCGTTTGTATATTTGTCTTTAGTTACGCAATAAATAGCATGCATGATATGGTTTGCCTATGGGCAAAAACATACTATATTTGGTTTGTCCAGTCAATTGAATCAAACAAGAATCCACATCTCAATCAATAAAAAAAAGTTTCAAAAATAACATATAAACATATATATTGATCAGAATACTAATCTACAAGGAAGAAATTAACTATTATACACCTTAAGACAGACCTGTGCAAAGTAGCTTTCGGGTTTGAATTGGAAATGGGAAGGAACTTAGTAGTAACGCTTGGGTACAAAGTTGGCGATGGAGCAATTTGACAGAGTCCACAAAGGCTGTTCAGTAAACAACAGAAATTACCTCTAAGTGCATCATTTGTACAGGATTTACAGTGATACCAAAAAAATTCTTATGTAAAGCAATGTATTTCAGTTCGCAATTAAATTAGGTTCTAAATGATGAGAAAGAACTGCACATTTACTCAAAGCAAGTAGCAGAGCTAAATAACCATTCGCCCTCCTGTGATACTATAAACACATTTAAATGGAGAACATGCAAATTTGAAAGTAACATCTAAAAAAATGAGCTGGAAAGTTTACTCTACGGATAATATATTCCCCGACTAAACGCTGGACTTTGTGCGGGAAAATGATGAATAAATACATACACGGGCTTTGGCGTGTTATAAAGACAAAATGAGTCTTAATGTGCCGTGCGAATTTGATTAGACGACGACTAAATATTACAGTCAAAACACACTACTCATGCATTAATTATGAAATTGAAATGCATGGAACTTCCACAAAACAAGAATCATAATTACATTTCTCATTTGTGCAATTCACAAACTAGCAGCACTGCAAGCTTTGTTCCACTGTGTTTGCTATACAGCACAGAACACATTAGGTATGGAGGGAGACGGGGCGTGGTGGGTGGAGGTGGGGGGTGGCGTTCATATCACAGAAAATGAAATAACACATGTGGAGCCATGCATGCAGCAGTAATGGGATATTTTCTTTTTTTTTTTTTTGTCTCCCAAAACCTGTCAGTGTTTTTAGCGGTTGTTAAAGGGACTTTATGAAAAGGTTAAGACGTTTATGTGCTGTGAATTTTAAAAGGGGAGTTTATAGTGGCATTATGTACCGCGAGAAGGTCGCGTTATGGTGGTGGAGGGGGGGTGGAGGAGAGCGGGCTCCCTCGACATCCGCCCACACGTGTGTGTGTGTTTAAGACAGACGAGAGGCCAGCTTCGATAATCCAAGCGATTAATAAGCGCGGCTCTGTCGGGCGGCGGCGCACCTTGCCGCTCGCGCCGTGACACTCCGCCATCAGAAAGCCTCCAATTATCTTTCCATCATCAAAACAGGCTGGATTTCCATTTCGTGTGATAAGTACACGAAGATAAATTACAGCAGAGAGGAGCCCCACCCCTCACACACACTCCTGTTATTAGGGATGTTTTCAGAGGGGGGGATATGCCAGCTGATTAGTTTGTTCTCAAACACTGTGGAGGTTTTGAGTCGGAGGAGTTAAGCCTCCTCTCCAAACAATCACCCTGCTGTAGCTGCAGGGTTAATGCCTCCTCTCAGTCAAATTCAGTGTGAGCAAGAGTGTCTGATCTTTCTGTCGCAGTCCCTTTAACTGGACACCATGATTGGACAAGGTATAAAAAAAAGAGGTGATGATGGCAAAAAAAACGAGGGGTAAAAAAAAAAAAATCACATAAAAATACGATTTATTTTATAGATTTTTTAAGGGGTTTTCTCATTCTCGGAGGTTGAAAGGGAGCAAGCCGATGAAATGATTGGAAAAAAAAATAAAAAGAAAGAAAAACATTCTAGAAGTTAAATAAAGGTTTACCTTTCTCCTGAAGCCAATCCTCTACTGGCCGGGTATATTTGAACGGGATTTTCTTATTTGCCATTTGATAGCGCTCAATGTCGCTGTTGCCTTTGGAGTTCGAGAGTTTAACAAACAGCTTGAAACAGTTGGCAACAGACAACAAACATTTATACAGTGGTTTATGATGAGGTTTAGCTGCGTTTAGAATGATTTAGAAAAGCTTTAGGTTTTTTTTTTTTTTTTTTTTCTTTCCACAATTTAGTTGAACTTTAAGCTGTACATTTGTTTAAATCACTCCACATTCAAAGAATTACACATCATATGCATGAAACAAAAGCAGAAAATCACCTGCAGGAAAGAGTAAAAACACAAATACAGCAAATACATCATAAAATACATAATATCAGATAAATGAAGTACAAACAAAGCTTAACCGGCTTCATGAGAGGTAAAAACTCGGTTAATGTGAGCACTAATTCTCCCACTGGACACCATCTGCTTTTTTTTAGATTTCAATAGGAGCAGCAAACGGTTTTGTGTGACTCGTCGTTTGGACGGATGGAGCTTCGAGAGGAAAGGAGGGCAAAGTTAGGGGAGCGAAGTGGTAATTCTAAGTATGGCAGACCCACTGGGGGTGAGATCCCACAGCGGCACAGATTTCAAGAGGACAATGCATACAAATGAGATCATTACTGACTTAGTGGGAGGTCTTTTGGGGTAAAGAATAATAAAAAAAAATGCTTTAAAAAACGCTGCCATACTTGCTTCTCTCAAGAGCACAGCTAACATGTTCCAAGTATTTATAGCCCCTTACATTTTTTCACACTTTTCCGACATTCCGACCACAAACCCTGAAAAGTATGCTCCTCCTTCAAGCTGTTTACAACCATTCTTAGGAGCTTTGAACTGAGAAGTAGTTTGTATGATGAGCTCAGCAGATTCGCAGTTCCACCAGGTGTCTGCTAATTGCTGCTGGCTAGTCTGAAGGAGCTGCGTGGACATAGGCGGAGCTAAGTGTTAAGGCATCTCGAATGGTTGCCACGGGAGATTCAAACATGCATTAAAGAATCAAAGCAACACTCCAGGTGTGTTTTGGATGAGGGAATTATAATATGATACACAGCTCACAAAAATTAATGCTACATAATATCTCCTCTTTAAAAAAACAAAAAGTAATATATACCCAACAAAAGGGCAATAAGGGCCACATTTGACTCCGAGTCACAGGTTACAGACTTTAAGCCTATTATATAGATTCCCAATAAAACAAAATAAAACACTAAAGTTTGTGGTTGTTACATGAGAACTGCTACAAACATAAAGGGTTACGATAAGTCCGTTATAAATATAACAAACCGCCTTTTGGAGAGAAAGTGGTGAGTGAGAACTAAGTAGTATTTCTGGTGCAACACCTTCCCCCACTGCGTGTGCCACGTTTTGTTTGACAATGGCGGTCTGTCGGGAGCGGAGGATTGAGACGCGGAAGTCTGTCTTCAAATGACAAAGAGCCCGCAGAGAATTACAGATGACAGCATGACGTCAGCCAGTAAGTCGGCGAGATGGAAAAAAAAAAAGGAACGGAAACCCATCATGGTATATTAACATGGTTTCATAACTGCGCAAATGTGCAGCATGCGGTGTTGTCTCAAGTGATTTAGGCGGTGAATGTTAACTTTATGTGAGCGTCTGGGGAGGGAGCCGCCTGATTGGGCGCATATCGTATTCTGCTTGTCCTCACACCCACCCGGTGCGCAGTTCAGATATTTGCCTTCATTACAATAAATTACACCGGGCTGGGAACGCGACGCAATCACATAAAGCCGCAGCGTTCCTTCCTTCCTGCCTGCCTTTTTTTTTTTAATATTCAGAGGAAAATCTAGCCAAGTGCTCCGTTTATATCCAGCTGGGAAGGAGCGTGATTATGGCTGCGAGGGAGCTCAGGGAGCTAAAGGACTGTGTCAGTAGTATGCCAGCAGGTTAATCAGCTACGCGCAGGACTCCCTCCTCCTCCCTTTGATCTCAGGCAGGTTTCAGGTGGCAGCCAAATACACTCTCCTCTGGACAAGGGCCACAGAGGAAGCCATTATGGTTGGAAGTGAAATCAGAGGACGGACGGGAACGTTGGAATATTAATGCAACAGAGTTTTCATTTGTCTTCTCTCTCTCTCTCTCTGTTTTTAGCTACTTGAAAGTGTCCTCTCAACCCCGAACCAGAGAGAAGAATCCATGAGCTCGTCGCGGATTGCTAATGGCAACAGTCCCAGGTACAACTCTCGGACTGTTCCAGGTGATTAATGAGGTTGACGGATCTTCGGTAATGAATACACCACAAGCTAATTGTCCACCTAATGAGAAAAATCTCTATAGTTTGTCAAATTGATATTCAGTTCTCCAGAGGTGACTCCACACCGGGTAACCTTGCCAATAAAGGATTATTGTTGATCATAAAAATCTGTCTGCTTTTCAAGCTTTATCGTTTTGTGGTCAGATTGTTCTTTAACATTCAAAGATGGTGAATAAGAGACAATAAAATGAGCTCAGTATTACCTCTGACTGAAGGGGAGGTATTATGTGTATTCCAGCCACAATGTGCCATTTTATAGCATTATCAAATCACTGTGTTACATTCAGTTGGAAAAATGCTGTATATATGTATCAAATGTGCCAATAAAGAAATTTTACTTTCAAATTGGGTCTCTGTCTCTTTAAAAACTCCTGCTCTTCCTGAAACTCCGCCTTCAGGAAGGATCACAACATGGCTCCTCTATTAACTCTTTCATTATGTTTTTACTGTGAAACAGCTCGTATAATGGGCTTAGCTGATGTGCAGTTCCACCAGGTGTTTGCTAATTGTTGCTTACTAGTCTGAAGGAGCTGGGTCTGATGTAAAAGAAGATCTTTTCCTTAATAGTGAAGCATTTTGTTATATTTTTATTCTAATCAGGACTAGCTTCAATTATTAGATCAAAACCTTCATTTCTAGTCATGTTTATTAGCTCACACCCAGGCTGCCGCTAAAATAACACCCATATGCAACATTTCCTCTTGTGGCAACTTGTTTTTCTGGGGTTTTTTTTTTTTCCATTTCAACAGCGGCAAAAGATTAATTAGAAATGTGCTCTTTTCCAAAGCGACGTAGTATCTCAACGTGCATATGCTCAAACCGAGCTAACCTCTTTAATCCTCTAATAACCCATTTCCCTTATGTTTAATAAGATTTATATACATAAACACTCTGCTTGTACCTATTTCCACCCTCCTGCATGCCTTCACCATATTTTTTTCTCCCAGCCAAAACAATGTTGAGCTTTTTTTTTTTATTCCTGTCAGTGGCAGCCATTCAGTCAGCACAAACACTGGCAGGGCGACAGTCATCTGCTGATTTGCCGCTTCGTTCTACTCAGTTTGTTTGCCAGACTGATCTCAGCAGGGCTCCATCACGGGGGCCAGAGCCGAGAGCACATCAGAACGGTGAAAATGTCTACAGCGACAGGCTCCTGGAATTTTTTATTTTGTAATTTTTTTTTAAGGGAGGAGGGGAACGTTGAGTGTATTTAATACTGTCCCAAAACAGGCTCAAATCTGCAGCTAGCCACTGTTTATGAATACCCATCGCCACCTAGTTCTTTGTAATATACACCGGACTTTCATGCTGGTTCTCTCTCTCTGTCCTCATCCTCAGGTCATTTGTTCTCGTTCTTTTCTTCTCATCCAGTCGTATTCCGCTCCTTCATTTTCTCCCTCTCCGTGTCTCAGCAATCAGCCCGGTGCACTCATCTCGGTGATATAAGCCTCTTCAACTGCTGTCATCCATTTACTTTTTTCCTCATTCACAAATGCATTTCTCTCCATCAGTTCACACGCGTCTGCCTTGTCTGCCCTACGCCAACGAATGTTTTCTACTTTAAAACCTGTTTTTTTGTGTGTTTGTTTGTTTGTTTTGGTTTTTCTTCCATCAGTGTCCACTCCGGTGGAAATGGGACAAAAGCGGGGAGTGTATTCATCATTTTTCAGGTCATCTTCAGATGATGTTGCAGGAACAAATTAGTCAGGCAGAGCTCAGAGCAAAAAGAATCAAGAGATGGTGTTTCAGATAGGGCTAACTGCGTTTGGCCCACGGACACACTGGGATTTGTCTCGCTCATGAGGAATTGTTCGTTTTTCTACATCACTGTGATTCTAGAAAAAAAAAAAAAGATCGTCTGATGTCTGTGTCAGGTTGTAGAATCGTACATCCGTATGTGTTTTAAAATGAAAGCGGGATTGTTGCTGCTACGGCTAACTAGCTAGCGTGCACCACGAGCGATGAAACCCGTGCACGCACACACACACAGAAAGACGTAGCTTCCCTCAGGCACTGACTGAGTAGTTAGGCTAATGGCCATTCATCTGAGACAATGCGTGAACCGCAGCCAGCTCAAGGCAAAAGGGCGATGTGCAATTTCTGCCCGGTTGGATCTTGTAATTCTTTGATTCAAAGATTCAAGCTCGTGCACACACAAAAAAAAATAAAATAAAATAAAATAAATCGAGACCGTGTAATCAAAGAGTACAGCGATTCTGAATGTTATATAAGGAAATTGGAGCCCTCTCACTAAACAAAAGGCGAGCCCCTGCAGAAATGCGGGCTGTCACACAAGTACACGGGACTGCGGGAGAGATGCGAAACCCGTGATGAGCTGCGACTGGAAGGAGGAGGAGAAACACGGATGGAGGAAAAGAAAAGAGGAAAAAAAGAACAGATCTGAGAAGATTCCGACAGAGGGGGGGAGAATAATTAGAGAAAAGGAAGAGACAAAGCAGTCAACACTCGCACAAATCCAACGCCCACACGCAAACGCGCACGCATTATTCCCCCCTCTCCTCCCGAAAGCCTGACGGAAACGTTCCTGTATAGGATCAGAGTGGGGGATATTGTTGTACGGATGAGCGGCGCTGCTGAGGACTCTGATTTCTTAATACAAGCAGCATTAAAGGGTTCTATTTTTATGTTGGGAAACCGCTGGGTGAATGTCGCCCTGCGTTCGGCTGCGCTAATAGAATCTTGATATCTTGGGAGCGCAGATGGCTCAACATCAACAATGTGGATATTAGTACCCTGTCGTGTTTTCCATTAAATAAAATAAGGTTAAAATAAATATTTTATTCCCCAGCAATTAAATTCAGACGCTAAATTCACACCAGATCTTGGCAACGACTCCGAGTAATCGACTGACACAAACAAATCAGTCCACAAAGGAAGTTTTGAGCAAGAAGATATGATACAATACAGAATGAGTATTGATTGATTATCTGATCCAATGGTGGCCTGTTAAACAGTTTCTCTTTACCAAAGAGTTGTATATTGTTATGATTGATGAAAGTAAAAAAAAAAAAAGAGTTGTATATTGTTATGATTGATGAAAGTAAAAAAAAAAAAGTTGTGCTGTTGCCACATTTTCTAGAATTCTGAACGTTGTGGTGAGAGTCATTGGACTGATAGGTGGAAAGAAAAATAATTTCACTGCCTCTTGAGAGTTCTGACAGTAAGACTTTGTGTTTTAGAGCAAAATATGCCCAGGTCACGTAAGAAGCTAGTAAAAAGAAAAAACAAACCACAAAATCCTTTATGTACGCTTACTGCGCAACACTCCACTGCTGAAGAAAATGCATGTTTAGGCTTTGCTGATGAAGATTTTGCTTCAGACAGTGAAATACTGGGAGAGTCTCATCAGATCAGCTGAACTCTTTGGGCATCACTCCACACACCACGTTCAGAGAAGGAATAGTTTTACAAAATCAACCCAAAAAACACCAAAGGCTTGCAGGTAGAAGCATCACGGTGGAAGCTGATTTACAGCATTTGGTCCTGGAAACTTCATATTACTGAAAGTAGGAGGAATGAACTGGGATGTTCTTGATAAAAGTCTAAAGAGAAAACAAGTATGGATTTCCAAATGAGACAATTTGAGTGGAATAATGGGTCAAATTCACACCAGAGTAATGTTTGTGACCAGTTTCTCCATGCAGATGTCTTTAAGTACATTCACTATTTATTTTCTGTCATTCCAGTTTCTTTCCCCATATAAAATGATACCATGAACTAATTTTACTTGGCTTGAATGTGTAGATTACTGATGTGTGATGACAATATTATGATATTTCTATAATTTTCTAATAAAAAAAGATAGAAATATATTCAGTAAAAGAATTTTTTTTATATCCAAAGCACTTGTTAACCTTTCTTGTTTTATTCTTGAGAAATGTTTGTTTTTGCTGCTACCCCTACTCATCGGTTGGCCTGCTGAACACCAACTTTAGCCAATAAACTTTGCTTTTTTATATTCTACGAGACGTTCAATCTTCACTTTATTGCATTTGCTGTCTTCGCTCGGTCTTGACAGTGTTTAAGTGATTCCATCTATTTTTTCATAAAGCTGATGTTCTCAATTTGTCAACGCCGCACCTGTTGTCAAAACTCGAACGCCTGTTTCTCTCTGAACTGCTGACTTACTAATGAAAATAGAAGCTAAACCGTATAAACGCTCTCAGACCGTTTTATCAGGCACAGCAGGGAAATAAATCTAACATACAGTAAATATCTCATCGAGCTTATTTGCAACCATTGCTCAAACTTTTAGAAATGTATCACCTAAACCGTGTATACCGAACTGCTGTAGGCGTAAATGTGCTTTTAATATACTTCTTCTGTCGCGTTAGAATAATTTGTCACCGTAGTGCAAACTACAGCAGCAAAAATTTTAAAACTCATCTTTATTTATTACCTTTGGTTATAATCAAAAATAAGTTGCATGGCAAAAAAAGCTAAATTTCTTAACTTGGCTTTTCTTTTTTTTCTTTTTTACCCCAAGGTGTCGTTTCTGTAGAGAAGAAAAGTTGTTCTTTGTTTTTATACTGTGTATTTGTACATATTCGCGAAACTGACTCATATCTGCTAACTTACGCACACACACATCGGCTCTATGAAAATATGTCCCAGATCCTGGCTTTAAATATTCATTTAATGAAATATAAATGATTGTTATTTGGATGTTTCTAAACAAGATGTGAACTTAATGAAGTTATTAAAACAAAATGATGCCAAAAAAGTTAAAGAAAAATTTGATTAAATCTGAATGTTGTCTGACTTGAACCCATCTTTTGCAGAATCCACAATGTTGGCATAAAAAGTAAAATTTTCTCCCCTATGCTTGTATACCGGAGCATTTTGGCTGCTATTCATGTTGAGCAAAGCATTAGGAGTTAGAGAAAGCATGAGCCTGGACTCTAATATGCAATTACTCACAAGATGTGAGGAGAAGACTTTTATAGGGCTGAAAAAGGGAAGGGCACTGAGGGCTCCTGCAGCTTTATTACCAACACTTAGGATGGGTGCAGAAGTCAACTGCAACACTTTTGATTGCCTGAACACAACAACTGGTAGGCAGAAATGAGATCTTCATGACGTCCAGGGGTAAAAAAAAAAGTCCCTGATTGGCTAATGATAGTAAAATTTGGTGTTCATAAGACTGACATGACTCTGTCATAAACATGAAGGAGTCTTTATGAATGTCTATAACTGTTGTCATGAAATGTCATTCGGTAAATAATGACACTTTTAATGCAAAGTTGCTGTAAAAGTTGCATTAACCATCCATTAAAAGTTCCAACTTTGCATTAAAGTGTCATTATTTACAAAAGTACTTGGTGTTCATTTCTGTTTAAAACAGGTAAAGAAAACTCTTTTGCCCTTCTAGTGAATGTGCTTCAGTAAAATGTTGAAAACAAAAACCACTCAACAATACCACCAGCACGCTTCTATAAATCGAATTTGTTGATGTTACTTTTGACTCCACAATGCATTGGTTTGTTTCATCGTTTTGCCCCATTACTCAGGCTGGAATGGAGTTATGAAACCTGTCTGAAGTCATCTGGTCAACTAAAAGCGGAGAACAGCCAAAAGCAAAAAAAAAAAAAGCCCGAGACAGAAGAAATTAGCGTCACCTGCGCTGGCTCTGAACCAAACCACCCGGCATGCCAGGTTGTGCCAAGAAAAGAAGCAGTTCTGGTGAAGACATGCTACTGGGAGCATCATGTGGGGGCTAAAGTGGTCAACTCAGATCTGCTGTCTTTCCAGAAGTCTGCAGTTTTTCTGTTTGTTTTTGGCCGAGTGTGCACCTGATATATCTCAGTTCATGACTGCACCCTTCCTTGGAAGAACAATACAACCAAAGCAACCGCAATATTGCTTTTACGCCACTATTTTACCAAGATAGTCGAGGACATTTGTGCCACCTTACATCACACCATCTAAATTGGAGAACATGAAAGAGGGAAACAATGTAGCTTTCTGAAAGTTGGGCGACTTCCAAGACAGAAATTGAGAGCCGGTCCAATTTACCGGACTCAAGTAGAAGCAGGAAGAGATCATTCTTCTCGTCCTTCCACTCTGTCAGTCTCTCCTCACTTGGAGAGCAGCACACAGGTATCTGCTACAGAGAAGCAGAGTTCCCAGACCTCCAAACGGAGCGGTTTCTGTTTGATGAGCCTATTTGTATTCTGCCGCCATACCGCTTCTGCTGACCTGGGAATGAGAGATACAGGGAGGCAGCGGTGTTATCTGGCCAACAGGCCACCCTAGGTCCTCTGCCTCCTTCTCCTTCTCGCCTCTCCATCGACCAAAATGCCTCTCGGTGCCTTTGAATCCCTCTTTTCGTATTGAGCTGGCCAAATGTTGCACAGTTAATGCCTCTTGCAAGACAAAGGATCCTGGCTCAGAGTGTTCCCACCCCCACCGACTCAGGTATGGTAGTGTGAAAGGACTGACGTATTTTGAGTCGTAGTTTGCCAAACAACCATTTCGTGAGCGCTTGCCTCCCGGGCTGTCAACTCAAACGCCGACTGCCCTTGAAAATGAAATAATAAAAATAGATGGTGTCCAGTGATTCTTAGGCTGTATAGAACTATCACTTTTATGTTACGAGATAAATGATAAATGATGCTGGCTGTACCTGAGGGAAAGTGCTCGTTGACTGGCCAGTTGTCCACCTGCAAGGTCGCATTGCCCCCGTTCCTCGTGAATCGGACCAAATGGTACTTGCCATCGTTTACCTCTGTGTTTGACTCCTTGACGCTTATGTCCACTGTCCCGATGTTAAACGTCACGCCGATTTTTCCTTGTTCCTGAAAGAGACACACACAAATGAAGACTGAAGGGCTTCTCGAGCTTTTTATAACAAGTGCTCCCTTTATTAAAAACCAAGGTTTCTGGGAAACACTGACAGAAATTTCAAAAAGAAACACAACACAAGTTGAACATTTCTCTTTTTTTTCAAGCATATGGTTTTATTTTAAGTTCCTTCCCCCCACCCCCACACACACACAAATCACACTTTTCAAAATTCTAAGTAACACTGACAGAAATGTAAAAAAAAAAAAAAAAAAAAAAAAAGCTGGAATTTTTTACTTTTTATCACCATTTGCTTGATTGAAGGACATGGTTTTATTCTTAGTTTCTTTTTTCCCCACACAGAAAACGAGCTTTTAAAAATTCCAAGTCAGAAACAAAAAAAAGTTTTTGTCCATGTCTGTGGTCACGAGTTTGCTGTACAGCACTTTGATGTAGCCTGTTGTTATAAAGTGCTGCAAAAATAAAATTGTCATTAATAAATACTTTTACACACATTGTAAAATATAGCTGCCGTTTGTGAACAAGTTCCTTAGTGTTTGAATCCGTAAAATGCAAAAAGCCACACATTTTGCATCGGGTTTGTTGTCATGCCCACATCCTTATTCTGAGCTCAGAGGTTAGCTAGTGGCTAGAAACAACTACCATCCAATTTCATTTCTTTTTGAAGTTCTAGACATATTCCTCCCTTAAAGCTCTTCTTTAGGGCCGTTTCCATTGGAAACCAAGATCAGTCTTCTTGAACAACTCATCTTTTTGGCAGTCACTAATCTTTGTGGTCACTTTGTGTTGAGACCAAAATTGTCTTCAGAGTACCACCAGAGACAATCCAAGTACTTGAGAGTCTTTGCCACATTAAAACCTGCTAAAACATGTAGTTGAGGCAGCGACAATCAATGTGAAAATAGACCCACAGTTATTCATTTGTGGGAAAACATATCGCCATCACAACTCAGTGTTTTACCAATACGCAATGGTGCTAGAAAAAAGATTATGGAGTACGCAACGACATCACATAAAAGGCACCTTATTGTCCAAGGACGCTGAAAGTGAATGCCTCTGAATAGGGGGGAAAAGAAACTGGTGGTGTCATTTTAAAACACAAATTCACCTGAGGACAACACTGTATCCATGGTTACAGATTTCTATGTGGTGACGGACAACAGTTTATGATGTAAGGTTATATTTTGTTTGTCATGTAATTTGACATGCTAACAATTTAATATCCACACAGCAGAGACAACATTTCACAGCAACGTGCCCTACATTACTCCATTAGTTCTTGGCAAGCACTGCTAATCCACCTCATTTGCTCCTGCCGCGCCTCTTTAAATCTCCGCTTGGCTGTGTGGTCAGAAAGCCAGGCAGAGAGACATTTGAGACACGTGTTGAATCGTTGACCGATGTGATCGATGGTTTGAACTTTCTCCTTTTCTCACTGCTCTGCATTCAAGAAATACGGTTTTCAACTCCTCTGGGTTTTGGGGTTGTAGTTCCGGCATTATTTGAGACTTTGAGATGCTAATCCGCAGCTCCCAGTTGTGACGCACCTTGTTATCACGGTTATGCATCACAACAACTGTAGGACAGTCAAAAAGCTGCACAGCATCCAACACCGGAGGGAATAATTGTCCAAACATGCAACGACGCCTCAACCAAATACAATGTGAGCAAAAGTCTAAAAAAAGAACAAATCTGAACAAATTTAACGGAGCTGCTCCAAGACGCTGCCAGTATCAGCGGAGCAACTGTCGAGTCGTAGAGATGGAGATTTTATTTATTTGCCTTCCTTCCATTCCTCCTTCCTTTGAATTGATTTTCTGTTTCTTTTTCCTAATTCTTGTCATTTCTTTTGCAGATCACAGCATCATGACATTTCCAATTTTGAAGACCAGTAACAAACTGGTGGTGGTTACCACAGTAAAGGACTTCTATGCCACAGCAGAATATATAATAATCCTGTTGAAGAAAATATTTTGTTGCCAATTGATTTCTCTTTATTCAGAGTAAAATACAACAAAGCTCTAGAGATGTAGTTTTTATTCATTTTTCTTTATGTTTTGAGTCTATATTTTATACAATTTTCTATTTTTTCATTATTCTACCTGCCTCTATGTACCCATTTACCTACCAACATACTTCTACCTGCTCACATTGTGCGACAAGGTGACTAGTCACACAAACCTCTCTACCTACGAATTGATTACTTTGTATTAGTAAGATATAAAAGAAAGGCATTTTAAAAGTACTTTTCATCTAATTGACAGAGTGCCTTTGATCATTTTCATGGCCACTTGCTTCATCCATACAGGGAGGTAAGAACCCTTAAGCGCGACCCACAGAATCAAGGCCACCCAAAGCATCAAAGGAGCGGCGGCGCCGTGAGGCTCCGACAGACCCAGCGGTGCTCTCCATTACCTAGATGAACTTGTGAATGTCATCAAAAGTCAGCGAGCGAGCGGCACCGTCTTTAAAAAAACCAGACCAACATCAAATGGACCGCAACTGTCAAGCGTCAACTCACAGAGGCATGTGAGCCGCATCAAGGCCATGTTTTCCACTACATGTATTGTTGCGCAGTAATGAATTAATTACACAGTAAACTAAGTGTAAAAGGCTCAATAAAGCGACTTGGATGAATGCCCGCGGCTGGTGCTAATGGTAAACCGCACGGAGAACCCGAGGACGCTTCATTATACAAGTGTAATGTGATGAAAATAGGCTGCCAGCAGAGATTCTAATGATGAGTAATACTCCCCGCAGCCTGTCTCTATATGAAACTGGCAGGACAGATGCCTTCTTCAGCCAGCGTCTCCGACGAAGCCGTACGAAAGCCGTATTCTTTGCTTAGCCCTCGACGCTACGAGTTACACCACGCCCGTAAATCGCGTCGGCTCTTCCTTGTAAATTTCAGATTCCTCTCCCTTTTCAAACCCCACTAATTTTCACGAGCGTTGCTTTACCGCGACAGCTCCCGTCTTCACGGCCGTGTAGGCAGTTACAGGCAAGAGGCTTCAGAGCCCGAGTGAGTGGCGTGTGGCGGGGAAGAGCTGTGTTTTCTGTGTCATTTGTTTTAATCCCCCATAGGGAGTCTTCTCTGTGTAATTACTTTCTTTAGAAGCCGGCAGCGGAGGGACCGTTTCTCATAACAAATCCAAAATGAGGAGGCTTTGAACGGGGAGGCTGGGGGTGGGGGGGAGCGGACACATATTGCTAATTGATCAGCCGAGGCTCTGACCCGGCATGCCTGACTGTTCAGAGTGCGGACCCCGATTATGTTGAGCGGGACCCTAACTGTGTTTGTCAGCGTGACACCGCTAGATGATAAGCTCCGGCATACAGTGGATGACACATCGCTTAAACCTGCTGACCTCCATTAAATGTCACACTCTTCTCATAGAGCACAGGAGCGCTTCATCAGGCCAGCAGATTCCTGACGCGGCTCCTGCGGTGGCATTCTCACTCAGAGATCGCATCAGAGTAGACAAAAAAAAGAAAGAAAAAAAAGAAAAAAAATGATTTGGAAAGTGAGGAGCAGATTTGTGTTTTCCTCCATTGTGTCAATTCTTTATTCAAAAACTTTTCACGGCATTTAGAGATTCAACACTTTTCAGGCATTTTTAACTTTAGAGTCTCAATTGCATCAAAGCTACTGAGATAAACTTTTATAAAAAATATGTTTTTTAAACACATTTCTTAAAACTTTCATCATCTTGTGAAAGCACAACATAGGAGAATATTCCCTGTGGTGTTTCTATCACCTACAGAAATACACTGATTGGTCAGAGACAACCAATCAGAGCCAGGAGTAGGGTCTTAGCGCTGCCAATGATCCTTGTGTACGCGCTGCTCACACCATGCCCTTTTCACTCTGCTGTGCCACTTCTTCTTCTTCACAGCGAATGGTAAGGCTAGTTAGCATGAACAAGGACGACAGTGGATAAACTCAAGCCTGACTGACAGCACAGAGACTCTCCTCCTGGCTCTGATCGGCACTTTCTGTCTCGTTAGTTTTAGTATTTTCTCTACTGTTTGTTCAATGATTTTATCAATAAATACGTATATATTTGAAAAAAATGGTTAAATGCAGTCACCTTACTGATACAAATCACACTTCTTTATATGAATGGTGTCCTAAAGAAGTATATTTTAAATGGGAATGTTTCTTAAGAGTAATATTTATATTTGCAGGGCTCTAATGCACAGCCATACACCTACCTAAAAAAGAAGCAATTTTATCAAAATCGTACCACAAAATATTGTGATCAAACTTTAAGTCCACATCGCCCACCCCTGGGCAGGATAATAGCAAAAAAGACAATCACCTAAAAGCTTAGACGAAAAAGTGAAACTCGTTTCTTTGAGTTGGGAACTGATTTCTGCTTCTAAGCAAATCTTTTTTAGGCTTAAGCAGACAGGAGCAGTTTTTTCCCTCTTGATGCAAGGCACAGTGCAACATTTTCCCTCTGGGGGGTTTGAAAAGGCAGAAAGTTTCTAGAGCAAAACACAGTCAAATTCCAGACGAGGCCCTCTTTCATTTTTAACTTCAAAGTTACAGTTAAAACATCTTTATTTCTTCACCATTACGAGAAACGGGATGAGCTTTTGGTGAGACGGCATCGACAGAGCAGCTCTCCTCGGCCCGGTTAATAATGGAAAAGACACGAGAAAGCCATTTCCTAAAAGCAGAGCAGAAGTGAGATGAGCCAAACGCTCCGCTCTGCGCTCCACCTCTTTGTCACTACGGCTATAAATCGGCTCTTAATATAAGCACTTGTCATTAAAACTCAGACGGACGCACGGCTGGATGCGAGGAAAGCGTGGGCGCGGGCGTGCTGACAAAATGCACATAATCGATGCATGCCAGAGACGACGCCAACAATCTGCTGATGATTTAATGTGACAGGCGGATGTTCCGTGCTTTGTTTCGTGGAAGATATTATTAAATCAGCTGGGCCTTACTGGAAAAACAAACAACAAGAAAAAAAACAAAACA